AGGACGAGGACGACGAGGAGGATGACGCCAGGGCGGCGGTGGCGACGACGACGACGAGGGTGACGGCGGCGACATCGACGACGGCGGCGACGACGACGACGACAACGACGACCACGAGGGCGGTGCTCCGTCCCTCGAGCATGTCTTGCAGTGCCCCTGGGCCAGGATCTTTACAAGGGTCTGGCTGTTTTGTGCGAACTGTTGTAAGTTCGCCGTGAGCCCGCCACCGTAGGTCCTCTGTGACTGGAATGCGGCCAATTCACAGACCGCCTGTCACCAGCGTGAGAATCAAGTGTGGATCCGCGGTGGGTCAACTCTACTCGGGGGCGCGGTAGCATGGATTAGAGATCCATGGATTTGGCGCGCGGTCGCCAAATCTATGGATCGGGGGAGGTGTCCTCCCCAAAAAATGCGGCCGGTGCCGCCTCGCTCGGCGGCGGAGATCAGCGATTTCCGATGGAAACGGGACCCGTCGCGAATCCACGCCCCCTTGATCCATGTTTGCGATCGCCTGATCTACCTGGGTCACGTTACTGCACGCACGGCGCCCCGCCGTGCGCGAAACGCGCGATTATCCCCTTGGCACCCGCACGCCGCCCTGGTGGAGAAGGGCAACCGCTCTGGCCCCGACCGCGGCGCGCGGAGTGCGGTGATTATCGCCGCGCCCCCGCGGGCGACCCCGCGCATCAGCTGTGAACTGCTTGCTCGTCAAGCGCGCCTCGGCTGCAGAAACATATCGCGGTGTCGGTGATGCGGCGTCGTGGCGTCGGTGCCCCATTCGTGGGTCATGACTGGGTGAATACCATCCGTGGGCCAGATTCATTAGTGGGCCACTCGCGGGGCCATCAGTTGAGCCATGGGTGAGCGGGGCATTCGCGGGCCATTTGTGGGGAACGTGTGGGCCATTAGCAGGGCGAGCGCGGGGACGTCGCAGGACGAGGATGGCGTGGAAACGTCTGGTTCAAGCGCGAAGCTTCCCCCCTCCGATATTTGCCTGCCCAGAGCCAGTCGCGCGGTTCTGTAGAGGTTCCGTCGTGGGCAAAAGCAGAGGCAGAGGCGCTGGCAGCAAAGGGAAAGACAGGGACTGACAGAGGAAGAGATAGTATGGGTAGAAGCACAACAAAATACACGAACCTGCAAACGCAGGCGCAGAGGCAGAAGTAGACGCAGAGGCAGAGGTAGCCATACCAACCCTCTGGCCGTAGGTGGTCTAATGAGTTGTTTCGTGTCTCTTCCCGAACCCTCTTCCATTCAGCGAGGGGTAACCTCCCCCCCTCCCCGAAGTGTTTGTAACAATGTAGGGGTTCCGCAAGCCATCAGAACGCCCAAGATGGCCCAAGATGGCTACATGCCTCCAATAAATAAGCCCCAAGAGGACCACAAAACGGCTCCAAATGCTTTCGGAATCCCCTCGGGACTTCCCCAAGAGGCCCAAATCCGTCAACCACAGAAGGGAGCCCAATCATTTTTGCATTCGGGCCATTTCGCCTCCGACGCGGGGCCTCAAGCTGGCTCCAAGACGGACCAAGAGAGCCCCTCAGAGGGGCCCAAGAGGACCCCAAGATGGCCCCCAAACCACCCAAAGTACGCGGAAGGGCGGAATGCCGGCAGGCAGCGCGAATGAAAAGAGGGCGGAGCAGAGGACCCCAGCGAGCCCAAAGAGGAGCCACACACAGACACAGACACACACACACACACACACACACACACACACACACACCAGCGAGCCCACGCCTAAAGAGGGCCTCGAGCTCTCATATTCGCAACTCGCAAACGAGGCAGCGACAGCCTGCCAGCACGTTCTTTGAAAACGCCAACCGTGGGCTCGAGACCCTCGACAGCGAAAGTCTGGCCGGCAGAAACTCTCGAAAGTTAAAGTCAGGCCAGCCAGCTCCCGCATCCCATGCTCGGCGGGCGAGCAACCCAGGGACAGGGCAGGGAGGGCGCGAGCCTTCAGAGGCGGAGAAGCTTACTGAACAAAGACGTGGAGACTGATTCATACTTCTGCAGCTGAGCTGGGGTCAGCTTGCCAATCTGTCGCATCAGACGGCCCTGTTTCATATAACGACGGACGCTCTTTCGGGCTTTCCAGCGCCCACGCGACTGGATCTGATCCTCAGCGCGAAGGCCGAGCGCGGCGTCGGTGGACGGCCCGCCACGGCGCGCCAGGCGCGGTGCGAGGCGGAGGACGTCAAGGCCGCAGGCTTCGAAGGCGGCCTTGCAGCGGCGCTCGTACTCCGCCAGCGTCAGGCCGAACAAAAGCATGGAGCTGCCTCGCTTTGCCGCCCTGAGCTTGGCGAGGAGGCCAGCCACCTGATCGCGGCCGGCCCTCTTGGAGGCAGCACCCCCGAAGACCACGGCGTCGCCCTGCCCCCGCGGCTCGGTCGCGGGCCGCCGCGAGGCCCCGCCATCGCCACCCTCCGAGGACTGCGCTATCACGACAGTGGCAAGGGGGTAGCCGGCGCACCGAAGACAAGAAGGAGCCGCCTTGATATCGTTCGCGGTGATCTGGCGCACCTCGCCTGGTCGCAAGCACCCGTCGAACTGGACTGGGTGGCCAGGGCCTGCGCTGCACCGAGGTCGGCCTTGCTGCCGGCGTCGCAGAGCCAGTCGCGGGCAGGAAACTGAGCCCATTGTGGCACGGGGTCTCGCGAGACGCCCCCCCACGGGCTGCTGCCAGCCTCGCAGCGCCGCGCGGGCGAGCTCCAGCACAGTCGAGTCCTTGAGGCCGCTGCGCTGCACGCACGCGGCCCCGTGCACGGCGAACCGAGCGTCGTAGATGCCCCTGCCGTCGAACCACAGGTGATCCAGGTGGACCTCCAGGCTGGCGTCGACTGCGACTCCTGCCAGGGTGCTCAGCCCGCGATCGCTTGCGAAGCCCTTGAACTTCTCGCATGCGTCCTGGTCGCGGGTCTGGGTCGCAGGCGGCACCGACTGCGCTCGCATATCCCGCGGGGCGCTGGCCGTCTCCGACAGTCTGTCGCAGCAGCTTGGCGACAGTGGGCCGCGGAAGACGCCTCCGCTGGCTCGCCTGGCCAGGGGGGGTCCACGGCCCCCGGCCAGCGCCCCGCCGCCTGGCGGCGGCCGCCAACTCTGGCGGCGAGCCAGACGGGCGCGCCGCTGGCGGGCCTGAGCAACTGCAGGGGCTCGCACTAACAGGCGCGCGCCAGCTCCACTTCCCAGCGATTGGGCAGCGCACCACGGCCATGCCGAGCGGAAGCCCCGCAAGGAGCCACTGAGGCAAGAATCAGAGCCCAGCGGCGACAGAGTGACGGAGGATACTTCCCAGCCAGCGTGGTCTTCCAAACTGCGGCCCCTGGGTCGCGAGATGCGATGCCCGATGACGACGCAGAACTCGACGGAATGGCGACTTTACCTTGACGATATCCATGGCGATGGCCACCCTCGCAGCCACGGGACAGCAGAAGCATATCTATGTTTGACGTAAGTACAACCATATGCACAGCAATCGTAGCGAACGGCGACGCGATGCTGTTGAGAAAAACTGTTGCGATGGCCCCAATTTCCAGATCCGAGAGGAGGCGGCTTTCTCGAGCGACCAACGTACATTATGGTGACAGCAAAGATGCTAAAGCGTTAATGTCCGGGTAGCGCATAGCTGACTGGTTCGAGCGTGCCTTCCTCGAGAGGTGCTAGTAGTTAGTAGCCGGACTCCAGGAAGTACAAAGGGCGCCGAAATGAACACACAAAATCCTCTCGCTGGCAATCCATCTATTCAACACGGCGAAGAAACGGCCATCCAAGACGCCCACGTGAGGCCCTCGGTCGTCGTCAACCCGAGCGGCGATATGGAACCCCGCACTGAGGCTGGCAGAGGACAGGCGGCCACTGCCAGCGAACACCTCCAGCATGGCCCGCTGCGAAGCCCTGTGAGGCCGAGGAGGAGCAGGGCTGGGCCTTGGACATTGGAGGCCTTCATGCGATTGGGAGACGCAGCGGCTAATGTCTCGCGGCGGCCAGCCGCGGGCTGCGCGCCCAACCCGCGCCGGGATCATATAGTACTGCTGACGGGTCAGGCTGGAAGTCCGCCCCTGGGGCGAGGCCAAGCTGCGCCGGCGCTGCCGCGGGCGCCCGAGCTCAGCTGCCCCGGAGCCGCAGGCGAGCGTCGCCGCTGCAGAGGCTGAAGGAGGAGCAGCCAGCACCTGGTTGCCCTCCACGATCTTCGAGGTCGCGGGCATGCCCTCGCCGAACAGCACCAGGCATAAGCAGGCTGGCGTCGGCCAGGCGGCTGAAAGCGTCTGCGGGGTTGCGAGCCGACTCTGCGCAGCGCTGCCTCCAGGAGATCTCGCGCGCAAGCTGGCACGAGGCTGCAACACGGCAGTTCCGCCTCAGAGCCCACGACTTGGCGCGGGCCTTCTCAAAGCTGAGCACGGCCCCCATTTTGCCCCCCATCCACAACACCTTCCTGCCGTAGAGGCTGAGGTCGCGGCAAGCGAAGCGCAAGCCGAGCAGCTGGACGCCGTACTCCTTCTCGTGGATGGCAGCGTCGGACTGCCAAGCGCCGCAGACGACCCTGCGCCACCGATCGGCGGCGAGGAGCTCGCCATCCAGCGGGGGGGTGGCGCCGGGCCCATGGTCCAGGCAGACCCAGGCAGCGGGCGGCCTCCAGGGCGCGACGCCCCTGGCGAGGAAGCCACGTCCAGGTCGTCTGCAAAACGGCACACCGCTGGGGGCCAGTCGGCGGAGGTCATGGGGGCCTCGGAAACATCGGGACGTCCTTTGAGCAGGGGCCGACCGCCCCAGCATTCCTAGTCCTACAGCGAAAAAATATTAGAACCGAAAAATGCTCTAATAACAGAAACAACATTCTTAGAACACACACCCGATGTGCTAAAACAAGACAGACTCAGCTAGAGATGTTCTCATAACATTTCGTGGGAACCACAAAAGGTTCTTATAACACTGTTTGGTAGGGCTATAGGCGAGCCAGGACGCTTCGCCACTGCTTGAGTCCGTGGCAGAAGTCGACCTCGCAAAACCTCCAGCGCTCCTTGTAGCGAGCGGCTCGGACGACCTCGTCGGGCTCGACGGCCGCGATGTGCAAAGCGTAGCCCAGCATGGAGGAGTCCGACGCGAAGGCCACCCTGCTCCACGGCGCGGCGAGGTCGGCCTGACACAAGAAGACGAGCCCATTAATGGCGCGGAGCTCGGTTGTCAGGGCAACTGAAAATCGGCCAGTCCCCGGCCCGAAATCCACGATGAAGCCGTAGACGTGATCCAGCGCAGCCACGGCGCCGCGGGCCAGCATGAAGTGGTTCACCACGCGCCCTGCGGCAGGCCGCATAGCGTGGCCAGAGGCCACCACGCGCCTGATGAGGTACTCCAGCGCAAAGTAGAGGCGCCTGGCCCGCTGAGCGCGATGGCGGACGACGCGCTGCTCGTCACTGAGTCAACGACTAGCCTGACAACGTCAGCGACGTCGGCAGGCTCAACCACTTCATGGTGGGCGAGGTGCCGATCCCGAAGGGTATCCAGCGCCGCGGCAGCTGCAGGCGCCGAGCCGATCAGGGCACCGCTGTCGACGTAGGGGGCGACGAGCGGGCGGCCAAAGGCCAGCGCTGGCCGCGAGTGTCCCTCGCGAAGCAGGCACGGACCAGCATCAATTTCGACGGCGTCCTCCAAGGCACTGCCGAGCACCTGCCGGCAGAAGTAGAAGCTCCAGGACCAGCCCATGGGCAGGCCACAAAACGCAAGGCACACGCGCGAGTCGCCGCTCGCGGGCCCGAAGGACTGCGAGGTCTCGTCGAGCACGCGGGCGCAGCCGTGCCAGCGCGCCCCCCCCCCCCCCCCAAGAAGTCGAAGCCGAAGTGAGGCCAGGTCCTGGTCCACGAACTGGTAGAACCCACCCTTCAGGTCGACCCCGCAGATCGAGAGGTCAATCGACGAGACCGACGCCGTCAAGAATCAGGGCGTCGTCGGACAAGTCGAGGAAGCCGAGGGCGCCGCCAGAGATGGAAGGCGCTGGGCTCGCGGCCGTCGATCACGAGGCGGATGTCGCCATTCTTCTTGGCCGCGAAGAAGCAGCCGACGCGGTGGGCGATGCAGCGTCGGAAGGAGACAAGCATGAGGCTGCGCAGCGCCCGGGTGAAAATCCTCCACATGGTCGAGCTGAAGCGCAGGCTGGCGTCCCAATACGGGCGGATCTGCGGAGTCTCACCAGCATCCACCGGCCGGTCGATGTCCGCGGCGGCCCTGTAGATAGTCTGCCCCTCGTGGTCCAGCAGCCTGCGAGCCTCGGACGGGAGTCGAGGCCGTAGAGGGCGAGGCTCAACCGAGCCGCGAAGCACTGCGAACTTCGAAGAGTCGTAAGGCACCATGTTGGCACCCTCGGAGGAGCACAGGTCCTTGCCCTTGATCAGGTCGAGATAAGCCTGCTGAGCGGCGTTTGGCGCCCGCGAGAAGCGCCCAGCCACCCGTCGACGAAGCCGCTGAAGGATGTCGCGCTGAGGACAGGAGGCCACGACATCTCTGGGAGCGAATGGCCCCCAAGGGGCATCGGAGGAGCCGTTGAGCGCGTTCAAAGCATGCGAGCACTCATTGACTCTCCTCACCACCGAGGCAAGAGGCACGCCGGCGGCGGGAACCCACCTTGCCAGCAGTCGGCAAGGGGAACAGATCGCGCTGTCGATGACCCGGTCGATGCACGCCACGCCGAGGACGAGCACGACGTCGCCTGCCAGGGCCGCGGGGGCCACGACGTCGCCTGCGCCAGGGCGATGTCTGGCGCGGGCGGGCCCCCCCCGCGGCCTGCCCACAAGCGGGGGCTGGCCACCGCCGCCGCCAGAAAGGCCGTCCGCCCCCCGGCCTCGGCCGCCCCCGCGCCCGCCACCTCGCCCGCTGCCGCCGCGGCCTCGTCCGCCGCCAGAGGGGCCGTGTGGGAGCACCCATTCATGTCTCATTCATGTCTCATCCATGTCTCGTCGGCGTCGTCGTCGGCGTCGTCGTCGTCGTCGTCGGCGGCGGCGGCGGCGGCGGCACCGGGCGCAAGGCCTCTCCAATCTACAACTCGGAAAGACCTCCTCGGTGGAGGCGACCCCCGGTGGTCGCGGCGTCGCCTCTCCGCCCTCGGGGGAGGGGGTGGTTTTGTTTCGCAAACCGAACGCATGCTGAAAGCTACACAGACCGATGGTGAGCAGCCGCGCACCAAACCGTGCTTGAGGACACTCGCGCCGAAGAGAACTATATCCTATCAGCCATGCCGAGAAGGGGCATCGCTGGCCAGGTTCCCCTGCGCCGAAAAGAAGTTCCCCTGCGCCGAAAGGAGCTGCAGTCAAAACATGCATTAAGGACGGGTGGCAAGGACGCAAGACCCTTGGAGGCCGAAGTTAGGATTCTTTGGCAAGGCAAACGGCTGAGGACGAACCGCAGAGGCAAGGACATAAGGGCACCCTAGGGGAAGGCGCGCGTCCTTACTAGACGCGTTGACTGTACACCTAACAACAATGCGGGGAAAGCAATGCCGACAAGAGCTATACCTATCACCTATCATCTAATCTAGACAGAGGCACTCCCATCACCTATCAGCTGCCGAGGGCATCAGTCGAAGGGCGGCACCTCCTCGCCGAATACTGTCGCCGGGTCCATGGGCGGGGCCTCCGGCTTCTTGACCTCGTCCTCTGCGTGGTAGCGCAGGTCGTCCATCTTCCTGCTGGTCACGGTATCTTTCTTCTCACCCTCGAGCATCACGACCCTCACGTCCTTCCCATTCGAGGCCACGGATTTCACCTTGGCCTTCATGTCCAAGTAGTGATGCGGCTTTTTCGTGCACTTGGCGATGATCACGGTCGCCCCCGGGATAATCTGCCCCGCCGCGGAGGCCGCGGCGGCGGCTGCCGCCGCCGCCGCCGCGGGCGCGGGCGCGGGCGCCGCCCCCGGCTTCTCCGTGGCCCCCGCCGCCGGCTTCTGCGTGGCCCCCGCCGCCGGCTCCTGCTGGACCGCGGGCGCAGGCTCCCCGGCCCCCTTGAGCGCGAGCAGAGCCTTGGCCTCAGCCTCGGACAAACAACCGAGGCAGAGACGACGGAGATGGAGGAGGAAAAATGAATCAGACAAGTAAGGGTTGCCTGCATCTTCTCGTCGCCGAACGCCTTGATGGCAGCCTGCAAGACCGGCGTGTTCACGACCTCCCACAAGCTCTTGTGCTGCTGCGCCTTGGCGGCGATGTCCACGTCTCCCTCGGCGCGCGCCCCTCGTGGACACGCGCCGAGGGACACGTGGATGACGTCCAAGAAGACCTCGGCCACGAACGCGGCCGCCTCCTTCGAGTACGCCGGGCCCAACCACTCGTTCACCTTCCCCCAAGCGACGACCACGTTCCGCACGACCGGGCTCGCGACCGCCTCCACGGCATCGGCATCGACCGTTTGCCCACATGCCTTGGACACCACCTTCGCTTCCACGTCCTTGTACTTCGTGCCCCTGAGCAGCACGCGGAGGCACTTCGACTCATGCTCGGGGAACCACTCCTCGAAGCACTTGAACTGCTTGTCGGCCAGCCGCAGCAGGAAGCCAACGTTCGCAGCCTTGTCATTTCCGAGGACAGTGGACGCCAGCTTGAGCTCCTGCATCCAGTCCGTGCCCCCCGCGGTCCCGCCTTTGTTGGCCGCCGCCTCCGTCTCGACGTTCTCCGGGCACGTGGACGCGAGCATGCGTGCCGACAACGTCGTCAAGGTCGCCGCCGTTGTCGCTGTCGCTGTCGCCGCCGTCGCCGTCGTCGTCGTCCTCGTTTTCTTCCGTCGTCGTCAGCCGCCCGTCCTTCGTCGTCGTCGTCGTCCCTGTCGTCGTCGTCGCCGTCGTCGTCGTCACTCTCGTCGTCGTCGTCGCCGCCGCCGCCGCCGTCGTCGTCGTGGTCGTCGCCGTCGTCGTAGTCGTCGTCGTCGCCGTCGTCGCCGTCGTCGTCGTCCCTCTCGTCGTCGTCGTCGTCGTCGTCGTCGCCGCCGCCGCCGCCGCCGTCGTCGTCGTCGCCGTCGTCGCCGCCGCCGTCGTCGTCGTCGTCGTCGTCGTCGTCGTCGTCGTCGGGGTGCCAGGTCAGCTCTCTGGCGCGCGGGCGGGAGTTTGTTCTCCTTGGCGAGCGCGAAGAGCGCTTCGAAGCGGGCCTGCTTGAACGACCGGAAGAAAGCGCAGTCTGTCAAGATTGCCGTCTCTCCTGGGCTGAGCTTGAAAGATGCCAAGTCGACCTCCTGGCCCTCAGTGCTGCCGTGTTTCCAACCCGCCGTGAGCGGCACCTTGCAGAGTGCACTGATCGCTTTGACGATCTTGGGAAGCAGGGATCCGTCCAATTTCTCCGCCTCCTCGAAGACTTTGACAAACGCCGGCATGCACGCCCAGGTGTCGCCCTCCAGCAGCCACTGGACGACGAACTTGAAGAACTCCTTCTCGTGTGGCAAATACGCGGCCGCGCCAGCAGCCCCCCCCTGCCTATCGGCCAACCAGGAAGTAAACATCCGGACTTTGAACAAGGCGTTGTTGCCATCCATTGCGTCGGGGCTCATGTACCGGCCCGCCTTGCAGTTCTCCTTGCACCCCTTGAACAGCGCCGCGGTCCCCTTCCAAAGCTTGCGTATACACTTACAGTCGGAGAAGGGGGCTTGCAGACACAGCGACCAGCCGTGGCGACGACAGAAGAAGTGCGAACGCAAAATCGGGCCCCGGACCCCTCCCAGGTCCAAAACGCACCAATTTTCCGGGCTGCGTCCAGCCGTGGCGACAAGGGCCCCCCCGTGGAGACAAGGGCCCCCGTGTGCATACGTATGCGCATGCACACGTATACGTCTACGTGCACGCGCGCACCACGAGAAGCCTTCTCGTGGTCGGGATCGCTGGGCTGCTGTGGCAGGGGGCGCTGGCGCTTGTCTGCAGCACCGCCCGCGCCGTCCCCTGGGCAAGGGCGCTTGGCCCCTGGGTCGTAGCCGGGCTTGGCGGGCGCGGGCTCGCCCTTCCCCTCCCCCTTCCTCGTCTCCTCCTGCTCGGCTGGCTCCACGGTCGGCGCTGCGGCTCCGCTGGAACGGCTCCCGGAGGCCGTGGCCGCGCCCCCCCCGAGCGCCAGCAGCCCCGCCTGCTCCCCCATGTCTCGGGCCCCCGTGACGCCGATGCGCCTCCGGATGGGCAGGCTGCCCAAAAGGTCGCCCGGCGTCCTTGGGATCGCCGACCCTGGCGGCGGAACCGCCCCCCGCCCCTCTGGCCTCGCAGCCTGCCGCGACCCCCGCCCAGGGGGATCGCGGCAGGCTTCGGGCCCAGCGTTGGGGGTGGGTGGCGGTTTCGACCCCAAGACGGGCCTCGAACACCCAGTACGTCTCAGTGTCCACCGCCTCCTTCACTTTCCACTCCGGCACGAGCCTGCGGAGTCGAAAGGTTCCCAGGGGGCCGCCTCGCGCGGGGCGGAGCGGCCCCCTGGGAGCACCCCAAACCACCCCGGACACCTGGCCATTCTCAGGCCGCTCCCGAGGAACGCACTATCTCTGTAGAAAGTAATGTGACAGACCCAGGAGAACCACTTCCTCTGAGCAGGCGTGGGTGTCAGATCTGCTTTTGGCTGCAAGTACACCATCTGTTCGTCAGTGACGAACCCAGTCACCTTCTTCGCCCAGTCCTTGAAGGTGGACAGGTTCACGTTAGTCACCCCCAGACCTTAAGCAATGCCGATCATTATCCTCGTCCTCCTCCTCTTCCTCCTCCTCCTTCTGCTCCTCCTCTCCCCCCTCCTCCGTACCCTCCTCCTCCTCCTCCTCCTCCTCCTCCTCCTCCTCCTCCTCCTCCTCCTCCTCCTCCTCCTCCTCGTCCTCCTCCTCTTCCTCCTCCTCCTTCTGCCCCTCCTCTCCTCCTCCTCCTCCCCAGCACGGCCGGAGATGCGAAGGACGGGGCTCGGACTTTTCATCGCAACCACGAGGCGCAAGTTGTTCTCATCGCTGGCATCGACCTGCGGGCACCTCTGCGAGAGTTGCCTCAGTGTCCGCCGGCCCCCCTCGCTTTCGGGCCCGAAGTGGGCGCGCCGTCCACCGCGGCCTTGATCTCGCCGGCCGGAGGCAAATGAACGGTCGACATGCCACCCACACGCAAGCCAGACTTCAACCCAACCGTCTGCGAAGCCCCTCTCGGGCCCGGCTTGAGCCAGAATGGCACGGTGCCCCAGGAAAGCCTTGGGTGCATCATGCGAGCAAGAAGTCTCCCTCCTCCCATACCAGTGCTTGCGTCGCATGGAACGGCCCGCATATATTGCACCACATATACTGCTTGAACACACTTTTGGGGCGGCCCAGCCCCCCGCGGCACACGGGCGAGCTCAGCTCGCCCGGCACACCCGCCCAAGCGGACCTTCGCGAAGCTAGGCCGAGTGAAGACTGTCCTCCTCCTCCCCCCCCTTTCCTCCTCCCCCTCCCCCTCCCTTCGCCCTTCGGCTCTGTCCACGCTGGCCTGGGGTCTTCCAAGGCGGCCCAGCCCCCCGCGGCACACGGGCGAGCTCAGCTCGCCCGGCACACCCGCCCAAGCGGACCTTCGCGAAGCTAGGCCGCCGTGGAAGACACCCCCCCGTTCCCACGAGCATGCACCGCATATCGTGATTGATAAGTTTGCGTCGCATGGAACGGCCCGCATATATTGCACCACATATACTGCTTGAACACACTGTTTGGGGCCCACTGTGGTCCCAATGTTTGCCGGAATCCAGGGGGGCATTCCGTGACACCAGAGGGGGGGGTATTCCGTGACACCAGGAGCTGTGGGAAGCGAAATCCGGCGGGGCATTTTGAAGCAAATCCTCTTCTCGATCCCAGTCGTCTCCATGCATTTCTCTCGCTTCTGTCTCTCCCTCTTCCGTACTCTTCTGTGCCCGAGCTGGGCGTTCGGTCGACTTCTGGTCGTGGAGCCGAGATCGCAGCAACAGGTGTTTAAATACCGGGAGCTCCAGCCTGACCGCACCATCCAAAGCATCTCTGCCAGGCCTTTCCTGACAGATACTGATCACGATAGCATCGGCGACGCCCCTGTCCTCCTCCTCCCCCCCCTTTCCTCCTCCCCCCCCTCCTCCTCCTCGCCCTTCGGCCTGTTCGACGGGCCTGGGGTCTTCCAAGGCGGCCCAGCCCCCCGCGGCACACGGGCGAGCTCAGCTCGCCCGGCACACCCGCCCAAGCGGACCTTCGCGAAGCTAGGCCGCCGTGGAAGACACCCCCCCGTTCCCACGAGCATGCACCGCATATCGTGATTGAAAAGTTTGCGTCGCATGGAACGGCCCGCATATATTGCACCACATATACTGCTTGAACACACTGTTTGGGGCCCACTGTGGTCCCAATGTTTGCCGGAATCCAGGGGGGCATTCCGTGACACCAGAGGGGGGGGTATTCCGTGACACCAGGAGCTGTGGGAAGCGAAATCCGGCGGGGCATTTTGAAGCAAATCCTCTTCTCGATCCCGGTCGTCTCCATGCATTTCTCTCGCTTCTGTCTCTCCCTCTTCCGTACTCTTCTGTGCCCGAGCTGGGCGTTCGGTCGACTTCTGGTCGTGGAGCCGAGATCGCAGCAACAGGTGTTTAAATACCGGGAGCTCCAGCCTGACCGCACCATCCAAAGCATCTCTGCCAGGCCTTTCCTGACAGATACTGATCACGATAGCATCGGCGACGCACCTGTCCTCCTCCTCCCCCCCTTTCCTCCTCCCCCCCCTCCTCCTCCTCACCCTTCGGCCTGTTCGACGGGCCTGGGGTCTTCCAAGGCGGCCCAGCCCCCCGCGGCACACGGGCGAGCTCAGCTCGCCCGGCACACCCGCCCAAGCGGACCTTCGCGAAACTAGGCCGCCGTGGAAGACACCCCCCCGTTCCTCCTCCTCCTCCCCCTCCTCCTCCTCCCCCTTCGGCCTGTTCGACGGGCCTGCCCGCGGGCCCGGCCGGCTCGCCTGCGCTCCTTGGAGGCGGGGAGGAGAATTGTTTTTCCTAGTCTTGAACCAGGGATACATTCCCCAGCGCTTGCACTTTAGGTGCTCTGATTTCTCTCACCCGCATGGGGGCCTCTGCGCCTGGGAACGAGGGGGGGGTCTTCCAAGGCGGCCCAGCCCCCCGCGGCACACGGGCGAGCTCAGCTCGCCCGGCACACCCGCCCAAGCGGACCTTCGCGAAGCTAGGCCGCCGTGGAAGACACCCCCCCGTTCCTCCTCCTCCCCCTCCTCCTCCTCCTCCCCCTTCGGCCTGTTCGACGGCCGTCCGACGGGCGTTCGACGGCCGTTCGACGGGCGTTCGACGAGAATTCGACGAGAATGGACGGGCGTTCGACGAGAATGCGACGAGAATGGCTCAGAATAGCAAGAATCGCCGCATAATAATAAGAATAGCATTCATGCGCCATTAATGTATTATCAGTGTCGCATGTGTGTCTCGTGGTCCTCCCTATCCTCCTGCTCTTGCTGCTGCTGCTGCTCCTCCCCCTCCTTCTACTCCTCCTCTCCTTCATCTCTGACGATGGTGACAACATTACGAACGCTTTATGTGCTCACAAAGCCTGCGGGCACCAATCCCGGATCCTACTGTCTGCCTTGGGGTGCCCGGTGGCTGGGCCGGGGAGAGCGGCCACTTCCCGTGTGAGCGCCTCAATCTCAGCCGCCACCCACGCCTTCCGGAGCGGCGTGGCCGCAGCAAATCCATTGACCTGGAAGCGAAAGATCATCCAAGCCCGAAGTACGAGCTCGGTCCTCTGCCTCTCGCGGCCGTCAGATCCGTGGTGGCTGATGGTGGCTGTCTTGTGCCTTTGGTGGGCTTTCCCCATGTTCTCGGGCCCTGTCCACCGGGGGAGGACGCTGATCTTCATGTCAGGCCACATCGGGTTATGCTTGCACGAGAAATAACCATTATTCCAGAGAACGTACGTCCCTGGGGACGCCCGATCAGCCTCGTCTTCGTCGTCCCCTCCGCCTGCCTCCGCGACAGCGTCGTCTGGTTCTTCGCCGTCGCCACCCTCGCCCTCCTCCGCCTCCTCGGCGGCCGAGTCCTCCATATCCGACAGTACCTCTTTCTCGTCCTCGGGCGGGAAGCCGGCGTCGTCCTGGTCCCCTGTCAGCTCCGGAGCCTCATCGGCGGCCTTCGCGAGCAAAGGGTTCACGCGGACCTGCTCCTGCGGCGGCGGCAAGCACCGCAGGCGAAGCCCCCCCATGCCACATGTCGTCTCCACGGAAAATGTGAACACGCGGACGGCCTCTTCCCGACGGAGTCCCTGGTGCCTGGCCTCGAGCTCCTCGTGCGTCAAGAAAGACCGCCTGAAATCAGTGTTGTAGCTCAGAAAGTAGCGGTTGGACCCCACGGGGTCGTTGTGTAAGAGCAGGTAACGGCCCTCGCCATTCAGAACAGCAAAGAACAACACCACTCTCTCACCAGGTCCAGTCCCCCACAGGATGGACGCGTAGCCGGACCGTAAATGACTAATCTTGCGCTCCCATACCGGGGCGTCGCGGCACCTAGTGGGTTGCACGCGCGGCCACGCAGACGGTGGCAAAGCACTCAAGGACGGCCGGGGCACCAAGCGGGCGCTCAATTCGCGCCTGGCGGCGCGAATGGCCTTGTACATGTCTGAGAAGACGACCTCGTTGGATTCGAGCCACTGCAGCCAGTCGCTCTGCGTTGTCGGAAGCACGCTCTCTTTGGCAAGCGCCATCAACCGACGGGCCTCCGCATGCGCAGCGTCGACCTGGGCCCGCAATTCCCCACGGTGCTGCTCCGCGAGATTCTTCAGGGCATCCTGGTCGCCCTCGTGAACCAGATCGCGGCTGGTGGCTGCCTCCGCCACCCCTGCGCCGAAGCGCACGCCTCGCGGGCGCGGCACCAAGTGTGGCCACCGAGCCCTCGCAAAGCTCCACAAGTTCTGCTTGCGAAGCTGGTCTGCGCGTCTCTGGAGGCCCAGTCTCACGGGGAGGAACTGCTCTCGGCGAACGTGGTATTGGTGCAACAGTTGGTTCCGAAATGCAGTCGCTAAGGTGCGGGCTTTCTGGTTCTCTGGAGCTGTGTCCTGATGGTGTTTCCTCTCGGCCTCCAGCGACGTCACGAGCGTGGCCTCGAGGACGTGGTCAATCTTCGCCTGCGCCTCGCTGCCCTCCAAATAAGCCGTCGCGTCCGCGAAGCCCCCCCTGGACAGCGCGCGGGCTTGCAGACCCAGTGTGA